AAAGCAAGGTGGAAACCATAAATCTGGCCCTTTACTTCCATGTATTGGTTAAACCCGGTAGCTAAGTGAGCAAAACATCTACATACTGATTTAGGAGCTGCTTATCAGCGGCTTCCCATTGTGGTTGACAGAATGTGAGGTTCTCTTGTATTTCACAGGATCAGGCTTTAATTTTCCAAGTGCGGCATTTATCCCACAAAATGGCAACAATCCAGATTGCAGGACGGACTGGAAATCTTGCTTGATCTTCAGAGAGAAGAAGGAAGATGAACGTGCATGCACCTTTGAATTTCACCGGGCTACTCGTGGCTACTCGTGGCTCTGACCCCACTCAAGGCAGCATGAACAGTACTGGTAAGCAGAACACTTTCTAGATCAATAGAAATACCAATGCTACCAGTTTTTATTGTGAAGAACCTATATCCCTATGACTCATTTTGAATATAAGAAATTAAAGTTTGGTTTCTAAAATAAATGTTTCAAAAAGGTGAAACGGAGGTAGAAAGTGTGCTTGGTTTCCTGATGTCTTCACTGAAGAAAACACATCCCTTTTTTATTCCACAGACTGTTCAATATCCCCAATGCTTTAAAAGCAGTTCTCTTCATATAGACGGAATTTATCACGAACTACACAGGTAAAAACACAGTATGCAAACTGATTTCTAATGCTGAAAGCCATATACAACTGTAGAGGAAAACACTCTACTCTCCGAGTTCATTTTTTATGTTTTTTTTTTCTAGGAAGCAAGCTTTTTATCAGATAAAACAATAAGATACTGTAATTGCAGGTGTACTAACAAGATTTTTTTATGTACAGAATTTTACAAGATGACCTAAATTCGTCTGCAGTGGAAACACTTTGGGTTTCAGTGTGATTACTCACAAGATGAATTTGGCCCTAAGTCTCTGTAGTAGGGGTAAAAAACCAAACAGAAGAATGTTTCTGAAAAAAAATAATGTGTAAACAGAATTCTCCCACCTTTATGCAGCTGGGGAGGGAAAAAATATATCATTGATAACCCCTTAAATTTCATGCTTTTACCATAAAAAAGATTGAAATATTCAGCTAATCACCACAATTGAAAGTTTTCATTCAGTGATCTTTTTGCTCCTCGTAAAGAGCAAAAAACAGCTTTCAAATAAAAGTAATACTGCCTTTATCAACATTTGACGTGCCATGCATGAAAAAGGTACAAAGCAAGGTACCAAGAGAAGCTTGTGTTGTAAGGAATATTGCAACACCTTCCATATTTCAAATTAGCTCTTGGTTTTCCCCCATACTCTAGAGAATTAGCAATTAAGAGACAAAGGAGCCCTTCTGAAATGCTCTTTACAATAGTTTCAGGTGTTTCCATTAGCAGAGTACTCTTAAGGAAAGATCTACTCTCTCCATAAGCATACACAACTCCTGGAGGGCTCAAAGGGAGTTAGGCCATGGTATGAAGAGAATATATCTTTAAGGCAAGTGTAGGAAGAGAAGAAGCCTTTAAAAAAGCAGCAGTTTGTAAGGATGGTAGCTGCTATTATGCACCCATTCAAACAAAACACAGCAGAATAAAGCACTGTTAGTGGCATTTCTACAGTACAGTACTGTATTATTGACAAGTAAAGTACAGGATCACATGAGAGACATATGCTCAGCTCCCACATGCCCACCACATTATCTAAGCAGACTTGTATTTTTCCAGGTAAGTGAATAACAGAGCTAAATACACATACGATCAGAAAATGACTGAGCTGTTGTGGGGTTTTTTTTGCTTTAAGTATCTTCTTGGATTATACATGTTTTTACTGGAAAAGTCCAGCTTATATTCAAAAGTATAGTTAATGCAAAGAAAAATTAAAAAGACCCATTTATTTAATGGGCCTTCTTGAGTATAAATTCACCTTATCTCAGTATATCAATCAGATGCTATTAGTAACATATGTAATGTTCTCTTAACAGTCTCTTTAAGTGCAAGATCACTGACACAGAAGTAAACCCACTTCTACAATGTGCTATGGAGTTTTTATCTGAGAGTTATTTGTGTGACTCGGAAAGTGTTATTACTCAACAAACTCTAAATACAAGCAGCATTACACTGTTCAACAAAACATGTTCATGATACAGCAATCACAAAGACTTTGGGGTCACGCTACTACGGTGGCACAGGCCAGACCACCCTGTCATATGTATGTACACCAGTATCAATGCTTTATGTTCGAGGAGGTGGTTGCCTCCTCTGCTGGCTGTCCCTTCCCTCCTCTCACCCTACAGTCTGCTTGCTCCAGACTGTTGTTCTCAGAGCAGAGCAGGGGAGGTGGAGGACAGGGATGGAGGTGCTGAGTACTTTTGTTTTTTTAACATCGGCTACATGTGCTTTTGGACAGTGAGGGTGACCGGCACCATAGCGGATGCTCATGCTCTGGCATCACTGCCTGCATCCCCGTCCCAGCTTGCCTCTCCCCTATTCCCCTCCCAGGGCCAGCCCTGCCTTCACAAGGAGCTGCTGGAGCTGGACTTCTTGGATCGCTTGATCATGCTGGGGTGGAACTCAGTGTGTCGGCGGGCGTGCTTGGTCAGGTGGTCACTGCGCATGAACCGCTTCTCGCAGAGGGGGCATCGAAACTGCTTCTCACCAGTGTGGGTTCGGTAGTGCCGGGTGAGCTCATCGGAGCGGGAGAACTTTTTAAGGCAGTCAGGCCATGTGCAGGGGAATGGTCGCTCACCTGCAGGGAGGAAAGGATGACAAGAGATTTAGGGAGGCAGGGGTAATGCAGGTTGGCACATACCAGCTTTACTGAGGAGCCACAGAACATGCTGCTGAGGGGAAGAAGCTGCTTTTGTTTCCTGCCATGGTGCCAGTGGAGTCTGTGGACTTGTTGATGACTTGCTTCATCAGGTTTCAGTCTCACCTTCAGCAGAAGCCAAAAACCCCTCCAACCACATGAAAATCACTCTCTGGTGCAGAACCTTACATGACCTGAGACTCTAATCAACAGATGAGCACTGCCCGTTCCTGTATGCTTTTCATGTTGGGCTCACTAGAGTGGTTTGGGAAACGAGAGCCAGAAGTACTCCTCTGACACTTACATTCTACTGAACAAAAGTATTTGTAATGGTTAGAAAATAAGCCAAAAAAAATCCTTCACCCATGACAAGTCATTCCAGCCCATGGACAACTGAGTGGGAAGCCATCAAGGAGAGCACTGAAGTCTTGGGGCTGCAAACATGTACAGCAAAACCACTGCAGCTGCAGAGAGAAGTCCCATGCTCCCCTACATGGTATAGGTACACCACAGGCCCTGAAAGTGCTAGTAAGCCTCTCTTAATACCGCAGATGCTGTCACCATTGAGGCTCCTGATGATTTGGTGCTCCCTAACAGGGGCTGCCCCATTCCAGACCAACCAGTGTGCAGCAGAGCTGCACCTGGATGAGTGGGACCGCATTAGTTACAGCAGCCTCACGGCTGCATGCCCTGAGCTTGCCTCCCTTGCCGCGTGGCCATGCTAGTCCTCAGTCAGGGGAAAAGGATGGAGCAGAGGAAGCCAAGTCAGCCGAGTGCCTGAGCCTGATGGAGGCACAGCTGCCAGCCATCCCGAGCTGGGACTTTGTTTTTTCTTGTTATACATGCATTTCTTGGCTCTCTGCTGTATGCTTTTGGATAAAGTTGAAAGACTTTCTGAACAACCACTGCCTGTATAAAACAAATTAATTAAAACTGTACGTAGGCTCACGTGTGCGTGAAGGTCACATCTGCAGTTACACAGCAGAGCAGGAACAGGAGCTGTACAGAGGCCTCACAACACTGCTCTGCCCCAGCTTCGCCTTGTCCGGCGCCTGCCCTCAGCATCTGAGGCAAGTGTTTCACTTGTACTGCTCTTTTGCTATCTATCTCACGGTTTCTGTCTCAGCTTCTGGAAGCAGGTGGCAGTGGGATGTGCAGAACAGCTTTCTAGCTCCCCCCAGAAGTGTTGGAAGAGTGCTATACATCCTGCATGTGTGGAGCCACCTAGTATATGGCTCTGTGTCAGGCACTTACACCCCAGAGTAGCAGGAGCAGCTGAGGCATCCTGCGCCATGTGAGAGACTGAAATGGTTAATGGTCAAATGTTGTTTAGATCACCAAAGGACTTTACCCGCTATATCAAACTGTGCAAAAAAGCAACTGCTCATCTTTGACCACCAAGACCACCCCCTGAATATGCCTCCCAAGTGGAATTGGGACTGTGAGTTAAGCCACCTGACAGAAACTTGAGATAAGGTAACAGTGAGACTATTGTCCAATTATCTCAGGTGTAAGGAGAAGTACACAACGCTGGGGGAGGCCATAGCCCAGAGTCTCATTTGCTAAGGAAGGGTTTGCACACACTTCTCCCCCAGCCAAGGGGGAGGAGGAGAGTTTTTGGGTGTGTGGTGGCGATCCACATAAGACAGAGGGGGTGAACACCCACTACTGGAGGCTACAAGCTTTTGAGGCTGATAAGAGGCAGATCCTTCGAGGTGGGATAGTGCTTTTTATCATGTCAACTGTCCTCCCTCACAAAATTCACTGTTGTAAAACTCCCCTCCCTCCCCCTGGGGAAGGTCTGATGGGGCATTAACTGGCTCAACTGCACTGATGTGAGAGGCGGCTGTGATGTCTTAGACGGGGTCATACACCATCAAAGACCCCCAAAGCACCCCCAGACTCATTTCTGAGGCCTTCCACCAGAGGAGTGAAACAATTCCTTCAAGGGAGGTACCTGGGTGTTCCCACCAAGCGCATATTAACCCCTCGGACTTTGTGTTTTGTGGGCTTTTTCCCCAACCCTGACAGATCAAGACTGTGACCATCACTTCAAACAATGGACATCAAAATTGCAACAATCAACTCTTGTCACAGAATCCACAGGTGGCGATATGATTCTACTCTTTTCCTTCCTTCCTTCTTTCCTTCCTTCCTTCCTTCCTTCCTTCCCTTGTATATTTTCCTAAGTGATATTTTTATGCTTTCCTATCGCTATATTACTATAGTAATAATAACAACTAAAATGGCTACATACCTGCCTTCTATTGCAACCAAATTGTTCTAAAATAAACCCTAAAAATATATATGGCTGTACAAACACCATTCAGTGCCATTTCACTCTAATCTGCCTCACGGGATCTATTAACAAGAACCTGGGTTACCCTTGCCTTCTGGAGTGGGTCGTAACACCCCATCTCAAGAAAGCACGTTTCCACCCACCTCAGGACAGCTCTTCAGCTCTCAGCCTGCATAAGTGCCCAACTGTACAGCAGGGAGATGAGGTGCCTAGGCAGGATAACAAGCATCATAGTCTTTGGGGTACAGCACCTACATTTTAGGCATGGTAGTATCCAACCTGAATGCCTAAAGCAGTGTTTAAAATCTGGGCCCAAGCAGCCCTCAAGACACTGAGCTCCTCCTCCATGCTCCCCGGGAATTGCACATGGCAAAAGAAAAGGAAGGCCTGCTTCTGGAATTCCCTGTGAAACATGATGGGAGCAGCATGACCTCCACCATGGCTACCCCACACACCCATTTCATATGCTAGGGGAAAGCACTCTAAAGTTATGCAGCACAACACAAAGCTTTAGGGAAAGGCAGGGTTTGCTCAGTATCCCTTGTGTACATTTGGCACTGCAGTCCCCTGGGAACCAACCCAGGGCTTGGCTGGGGGAGCACACCAAGGCTTCAGGAGACTGCTGTGGTGGAGGCATGCCTTGCTACCCACAGGAGAGCTAGCTTGTAGGGATGCAGGACAGGGAATGCAGCAGAGATCACAGATAGGAATGAGCAGCTGTGCTCCCTCGATTCACCAGAGCTGCCACAGGCACCCACCACCCACTGCTGAGCTCCCAAGTACAGTGGCTGAGAATGGCTTCACCACTTTGGCAACACAAACCCACGGAAGCTGTCACAACCACTTGGGAAGTGCCTGTACGAAAGTAGGCCAGGCATAATCCCTGGCACCTAAATGCATTAAACTCCAGACTTCTCAGAGCAGAGACACAAGGGGGAGGGAGGCTTTTCCAGGCCCTCAGGGGTTGTCTCCAAGCTCAGAAGATCAACCACTCCCCTCCGTCACAAAGCTGTAACGGATGACACCAGCCCAAAGGGGTGATGTCAGTGACAGACTCAATAGGTGCAAAGCAGGGGTGGAGTGTTCCTCCAGGAGGCTTTTAATGCAAGGCACATGATAACTGTCCACCTAGCAATGCTGGTAGCTGTATTTGCTATTTGCTATTTTGTGGAAGAGTCCTCTGAGAAAATAGGTCTTGCAGCTCATATGCTTGCTGGGCAGGCAGTGGCCCACAGAGCTGCAGTGCAAGCTAATGCTGCCTCCATCTGGAGATAAGGATTTCTTGCCATGTTTCATGCATGAAATATCTTTTCCGTATGATTTTTCTCCTTTAGTTTTGGGGGTAGTAATACTAAAGCTTGAAACAGCAGAATGAACCATCAAAACAGAGTGCTATTATACACCGATTCCTTTGTTGACTGCATGTTACTAACATTTTAAGATATACCTTAGATGGGATTTCTATGAAGAGATGAAGGAATGGCCAATGGTATATCATGGTAGTTTAAAACCATGTGTGATAGGACCCTAACACAGCAGACACAGCAGTTTTTCTTTAAAAACCAAAAAATTAAAAAAAATTATCAAGGGCAGCTTACAGAAGTAAGAAGTGAAATAGAAACTGATTCACAGGTGCATCTGCAGACTCCCATTCTTTGTGCTCTATGCTGCCAGGAATGTAATGAGAGACATGGTTTACTGTGACCACAAGCTAATGCTGGTGATTCACAGGTCTTCTCTGCAGTCTGAAGAACTCCTGCTCCTGCAACCCTGTCTTGTTTTAAATACCGTATGGATATAAAGGCCATTGCAGATCCTTTTGATGTTTGCTGTCTTGATTCACCTGCCCTTTTCTACCTTTTCCCTCTCCCTACCCGCTACCTCAATGTTTAGTTTCTTCTTACTTGCAAGCTAGTTTGCATGACCCAAGGCAGGCCCACTTTATTCTATTCCATTTCCATTTCATTCTGAATAGATGATAAATCATTTAGCTTTTTTGCCCTAGCCCAGGAATTTCAGATTTTCCCCACTGTGGTCTTGTGCAGGAAGAGTTTATGAAAAAGAATACACAGTGGGCATTAGCAGACTCATTAAACATAAGTACAGGTGGTAGTGATATCCTGATCTGTCATTGGTCTTCTCACCACAAAATGCTGCTTTATGCAGAGATGACTGAAGTTAGGAGCTGCAGTTCATGGTGGCTTTAACAAAAACAGGCTTGTTTGGTCAAAAAAGGGACAGAGAAGTCCTTAGTGACTTTTTTTTTTTCTGGGAGGGAGGGAGGGAGGCTGTGCTTGAGAAAGCTGATGACAGTTTATGATCACCCACTTGGGCAACTCTCTTGGTGTGTAACAGGACATGCACTAAGACTAAGGTACACTGAACTTCTGCAGTGAATGAAATACTAATTTTATGTGAATTACTAAAATTCTTGAGCACTGGCTTCATGGAAGACATTCAAGCATTGCTGTTGGTGTGGACAGAAGTCTGGCCAAGATGAACTGTTTTAGTAGGCTCAAACTGTCTCCCTTGCTGACAGAAGAGGGGTTGGACACAGCCGTGAGTCTAGAGCCTGGCACCAGCACTAGCTAATGCAGGACAGTTTGCTATCCAGTAGTGTTAATGATGCTGCTTCACACATGAATTAGAAGCCAAGTAGCTACGGCTGCATGAATGGATGGACATCCAATTAGACCAATTACAAGAGATTTAAAACCTTCACTGGCCTGTGTTATTGAAAACGAAACCACCGAGTACAAGGAAGGGTTGTGCTGTTTGGTAATGCAGCCACTGTTTTAAGTCTAAAAAAACGAGGAATGGTTCAGAGTTTGACCTCGTGGCTCTGGCTCAGCCACTGTCATGACACAGCCAGCCAGTACCTCCTGCTGCAGGGATGCCCACCCTGCCTGCAGCACCTGCCCTGAGGCTCAGTCCGACTGAACAGCAGCAAGGCTGGCCTCCTGCCAGAAAACTGAAACAACTGATGGAGAAGAAGGAGAAGGGAAAGCAAACACATACAGAAACCCCAAATTGCAAAATCTCTTGCCATCATGCAAAAGCAAAATAGTTCCGGCAGAATTAGCTCTGCATGGTTCAAACAACAGGCCCTCTTTCTTCTTCCAAGATCTTCCTGTACCTCTGGCTGCTGGTGCTTGACATTTTCAAAGAAATCTTGGTACCCTAGTAATAACTGAAACCAGAACCCCAATCTTTAACTTAAAGATGTCACTGATAAGCAATTCTTTACTTTTTTCCTGTGATCCCACTCAGTCACCACTCTTGTGTGTCTCAGTGCCTACTGAAGTATGACAGGTTCTGTAGGTGGATGTCAAGAACATGGTCCAGCTTATTCCAAGAGGGGAAAAACAAAATATGAGGCTATCTTCCTTATCCCAGAATCCCTGCTAGCTCAGGTCTCTCCCATTTTTCTCCCCAGTGTGTTGCCCCACACATCCTGAACAAGCAATTTTCTGTGGGACACTGGACTTTGACTGAGTGTCCACATGCAAGATACGCTGGTGAAGATGGATCTTCAGGGCAGACAGATTGGAGATCTTTCAAGCAGGCTTTTTCTTCTTCAGAGATATTCCAAAATCAGATCATTAAAACACATGGCAACAAGGTACAGATACTGGTGCAGAGCGAGATCAGCGATGAGAATGCTATATACTATGTGCCTAAACCAAGGCTTTCTGGAACACCTAAACTGTGGCCATCCAACCTGGCAACAGATCAGACAGACACTGCTTATGAGATAGGTGACGGATGGATGGGTTCCAGCAAGGGGTTTATTCTGCCAGTATTTAGGATTAAACACCACAGGTTGATTCACGTTCTGCTTTCAGCAAGTACTTAGAATGTTCTGACATCAGAACCCCACTCAGCAACTCCTTCAAAAGTCCAGATGCAAAACCACCTGCTAGAACCTGCTGCTGCTGAGACTCTGAATTCCAGGGAAACTCTGTACTGCTCTTATCCTGCTGTGACAGAGCATTGGATGCAAAGGATAGCCTTACAGCTTCTCTGTCAGAGCAGAACCACCTTGCCCGACTTACAAAAGGCTTTCTCTGGGAGACTGGGCCTCCATATACATATATATGTATATATAAAAAATAAGTATCAGTCAGGGAAGCTACTTGGGAGAGGAGAGACCTTTCCAAACCTCACAAGAGAGAATAAAATCTACACTGTCATAGCTGAGATCAGTGCCCTCATCAGTGCTTTTAGGTACATGGGACAAGTACTTTTTCTCCTTTTTTGACTTCTCTGTGTGTGAACTTCCTCCATTTTGCAATAATACTTAAATATTAACTGAGCACTGGAGAGAGACTAAGCGCTTAGGGCACTTAATTGGGATCAAAGAACATTGGATTTAAGCTCCTGTCCTATCTGAATAATCAAATGCTCACTAAGAGGAGACAACTTGGACAGAAAAAGGAAGAATGCACTTCCGTGTGCCTTCAGAAAGATAATGTAGCTTTTGTTATTTCACTCTGAATTTATTAGCCAGTGTTTCAACTGACTTTTCCATCAAGTTTGAGGTACTTCTAATGTGCTCTCAGGCTATTCACATTCATCATAAACAGATGGTGAACTGTACTACCACAAGTTAACAGTATCTGAAGTGTGCTTTGCCTTCACTCCCTCAGATCCTCTTTGTTTAATCTTAGATTGGCTCTTCCCTGCTCTTCCAGCTGCAGGTTGGTAGCTGTGCAAGGCCAGAAGCACAGGAGCAGCAGTCTAGTGCACAAAAACACAGCAGTCAACAAAGGGGAGCGATTGTTCCTGCATGGATCCTGACAGCTGGGGCTGCAAGACACACAGTGACATCCACCACATGGTCCTTAGTGCCTCAGTACAACAGTGTGCAGCAACTCCATAAAGCTGCAATTTCAGTACATCCATCCGGAAGCAGGAGTTGTGCTCTTATGGGTGATGCCTGCTCACTGCTTATGTACTACACATGCACTTCTTCACGTTGACTCAATTGACAAACAAATCTTTCTGGAGTGCTTTCCCACTGCAACACATAGACCTGCTTAATTTTTTTTTTAGCAGAAAACAAAAGAAAACAACTGGGAATTAGGCAGCATTGAAGTTAATCTTGAGGATTTTTGCGTACCTTACTCAGCTGACAGAACTTCCCGTCAGAATGATCATGTTTCTCCAAGACTTGGAAATATGCCCATTAGAACTCCAGCAATTTGCATATTTTCATTAACCCTTGAGAATGGGTGTTCCAGATGGCATTCTGAATTTAGCAATAAATGTCCTGCTGGCTCCACTTTTTGCTCTTTGGTCCTATTCTAAAGGATCTAGCAAAGTGACATTGCATGAGTTGGATAAGAGGGGCTTAAAATGCTAAATTTCAGATTATGCTCAAACAAAATCCCCAAAAAAGCTCTCAGTGAGCAGAGGACTGTCAACATACCAGCATCTGGACAGTCTGTTGAGCCAGTGCTAATCTAGAACACAAATAATAAAGCAGCAGAGTAAAACTCAAACTGATACCAGGGCTGGTCTAACACCATGATGTCTAGATAGCAGCTGCAGCACTTGTTCTTCCTCTCTACTGGAAATGCTCCTCAGCTTCACTGTGCAGATCACCAAGCTATGGGTCCACATCTTTGCCTAAGCCCTGCTACCAAGCGCTGGTGAGAGTCAAATGCCTAGAGCACTAAAGGGTGCATCAGCTGTCTGGTGTAGCAAAACCATTGGCATTGTTTGGATCTAGTTTACACGATAATGCAGAACTTTTCCCACATTTGGGTTTTGTGCATCTAAGCTTTTAATTAAGGGCACCTGAGGAATATGTGAACTTCCCATCGATCCTCAGCCTCTCCAGGCAAGTAAACTCCTACAAGTCCTGTAGTAGGAGGCATCTCACAAACTAGTTTTATGGTACCTTCTCTGTCCCTCCTTCCTGACCAGGAGGATCTGGTCTCAGTGGCCATATGCCCTTTAGCTAGATTACATTCACACCATCATAACAAACATAAATTCCGTAGAGCTTGTTTCTCCTGCCAGTTTGTCTCCTTGCCCTTTGCTCTGCACTCCCTGGCCAGGACGTCTAAGATTGCTTGTTTACTCTCATATGCCTTCTTTTTCCCTGGAAACCCTCCGGCCTGCAATTCCCTCTTTGTTATGATGCTCTCCCCACCTTTGTCTTTGAGGCTAGTAATAAACCTACACAACACCTGACATAATCAAACCTCTAAAACCACATATTTAGAGAAGTCTGTGCATTTTCAAGGTAACTCCCTGTGTATCTGCTGTTGCTTGTCATTTTCTGGTTCAGACGAGTCCTTCACCCTTTCCTGACCTCTGTACTGCTTCCAGGGGTCGAGGCTCACCTGGGCCTTTTTTTGTGCTCTGAAGGGCAATTCTGCAAGACTTGATCATGACAATTCAATGCTCAAGACTCCTACGCAGACACACCACTCATAATCCCTCCTGCCACCACCAAACTCCAGCTGAGTTTACATGTCCTATATTCCCTTAAGGGAGGGGCAAACTTAAGGCATGGTTATGTTGTATGAGCTATTCCTCCACCTGCCTTCCTGAACAATAGTTTTTAGCTTGCGAGCCATTGGGCACAATATCACCTTTTCCCTCCTACACCAAATACTGTGAGCCTCAGGGATTCTACTGGACACAGCTCATTGCAAAGAACAATCTCACCTGCGCTGCTCTTCCTGCCCAAGACACCAGAACTAAATTCACAAATTCTAAGTTACTTTTGGATGGTAGTAAAGGGAGAGGAGAGGCAATATCTCAGTTTCAATTATGTGCTTGTCCTTGTATCCCTGTGCCTTTGCAAACTGCTACATTTTGAATGTAGGTACACATACATGGGAGAAACTCTTAAGGCCATACAGCAGGTGAAAATTCCACCAGAAGTCTGGAAGCACGGGGGCCAAGCACTCCATGCTAAATTTCACGAGTTCGTGGTGCACTGTTGGGAACTAGGCCAACTACCATCAGACCTTCGAGATGCAGTCATCATCACTTTGTATAAGAAGAAAGGAGATAAATCAGACTGTTCAAATTACCGAGGTGTTACTCTGCTCTCCATCGCTGGCAAAATCCTGGCAAGAATACTTCTGAACAGACTAATACCTGCAGAACTTCTACCTGAAAGCCAATGTGGTTTGAGAGCCAACAGGAGTACCACAGACATGGTATTTGTTCTCAGACAACTGCAAGAGAAGTGTAGGGAACAGAATAAAGGTCTCTATGTAACCTTTGTTGATCTCACCAATGCTTTCGATACTGTGAGCAGAAAAGGTCTGTGGCAGATTTTGGAACGTTTAGGATGTACCCCCAAGTTCCTTAAAATGATCATCTCACTTCATGAGGATCAGCGCGGCCAAGTCAGACATGGCAATGCACTTTCTGAGCCCTTTCTAATAACCAATGGTGTGAAACAAGGCTGTGTTCTCGCACCAACCCTATTCACAATCTTTTTCAGCATGATGCTCCAAAGGGCCACGGCAGACCTCGATGATCAGGACGGTATCTACATTTGATACCGTACTGATGGAAGCCTATTCAACCTAAGGCGACTGAAGGCCCACACTAAGACCTTAAATCATCTTGTCTGGGAGCTGCTTTACGCTGATGACAATGCCATCATCGCCCACACAGAAGTAGCTCTGCAACACTTAACATCCTGCTTTGCAGACGCTGCTGAGCTTTTTGGGTTGGAAGTCAGCTTAAAGAAGACAGAAGTTCTCCATCAACCTGCACCTCAGGAAGTCTTCCATCATCCCCATATCACCATTGGCCAATCAGAGCTCAAATCAGTCCAGCAGTTTAATTACCTAGGCAGCCTCATCTCCTCGGATGGTAAGATTGACGGAGAGATAGACAACAGGTTAGCAAAGGCATATAGAGCTTTCGGAAAACTCCATAAAAGAGTTTGGCGAAATAAACACCTGAAGAAAAGCACAAAGATCAGTGTTTACAGAGCCATCATGCTGTCTACTCTTTTATATGGGTCCGAATCATGGGTCATTTACTGCCACCACCTGCGACTCCTAGAACACTTCCATCAACGCTGTCTCCGTACAATCTTAAACATCCACTGGTCAGATTATGTGACTAATATGTCTGTTCTAGAACAGGCAGCAGTTATAAATATTGAGGCCATGTTGCTGAGAACACAGCTGCGCTGGGCAGGACACGTCTTAAGGATGAAGGACTACCGCCTCCCTAAGATCCTGCTTTATGGTGAACTTGCCAGTGGCTGCCACAAGAGAGGAGCCCCAAAGAGGAGATACGAGGACTCCCTGAAACAACATCTCAGCCTTGGCCATATTGATCTTCATCACTGGTCTACTCTGGCCTTCAATCGGGAGGCCTGGAGACACACTATCTGTAACACTGCTGCTTCCTTTGAGAATGCACACAGGATCACTCTTGAGGAGAAAACACAGAAAGAATCGTGTCTTGCCAATACCATCCAAGGAGTCTTTCTGCTGTGCCTTTTGCAACCAGATTTGTCTATCTTGCATTGGCCTCTTTAGCCACCAGCATGCTTGTAGCAAATGTGGGTAGAGTCCTTCCCAAATCTTCGTTCATGAAGCCTAGCCGTGAATGAATGAACGCATACATGACAGAACAAAGAAGTGCCTGATTGTATTGCAAAAATGCCAGAGGTCTAGTGAGGGATGAAAAGACTGTTCTCCCAGGAAGGGGCAGACTTCCTTGGCTTCCTCATACAAATCCTGCTCTTCCAAGTCAGGCTGAGTTCAGCAGGACAAGCAAGGGGGCTGTTTGTGCAAGTAGGATGTGCAGTGTTGCTGTCCACTGATCTTTTCCTGTTTAGATCAACTCAGAAGACAATTTCTGAGGGATGGCTAATTTGGGCCTTTTGCAAAGGCCCAAACTTCAAGGAAACAGTTATATAGACATTTTTAGTATCTGAAATATGGAACCCTTGAACCAACAAGTTAAAGAATCATTAATAAGATACAGACCTCTAATCTCTGAGCATCAAATCTTTGGCCTTCTAGTCTTCTACTTTGATTTGGTATTTCCTTTCTTGCTTTGCATTAGCTTGACAAAGATGGTCTGGTGGGTTTTTATATCCCCAGCCACTACATAGCACAGAGCAGGATCCAGAGCTTCCCAACTTGCTTGGTTAGGATCCAAGAATAAAGAGAACCGTGGCTACAAGCAAGCTCATGGGTGTGAACAGAAATCCTGAAGCCATTTTCCAAGGTAGAAAGACTGGGATTAAAAATTAAAAATTTAAAACCAGGAAGCTTCCGTTGGTGCTTGCAACCCTAGTCCCACTAAAGGCCACACAGCAGCAAGAAACCTAGTAGGTGGCCTGATGAAAAATGGCAGGTAGATGAAAGAGAATATATTTTCAAAGATAAAAATACAGTACTAAGGAAGGAGCATTAATGCTCTGCAATATACAGTTATGAATAACTCTAGAGGTCCCATTGAATTGCACTGTTGCTAAGGAATTGTTCTGTCATCTATAAAAATAATTAACATTAGCAGTATCGTTTAGCATTTCAGTTAGCTACAATTAACTTCACGTTAGGAAGCTTTGAAAATTCATTACTGCTGGATGTCTGCAGTGGTTTTAATCACACAGAACTATCATGACGGTACATCAGCGTGTCTGAGTCAAACACCTTATACTTGGAGCTAAGGCCACCCACTTGTGAGCAGCACATGCTAAACCTCATGCCACTTCAGGAGTACTTATTATAACAGTATTGCTTACAGCAAGCTGTGTGGGTTGTACAGTACATTAATTTACATGTCATCACACAGAATGCTATCTCAGTCAACATCTATTTTGGTTCCCTTATTGAGGTGCATTCTGAGCATGGGGTAGTAAATGGAAATGATGCTAACACATTTCCTTTGTCACTTATGAGACAAGACTTTGCAAGGCACCATTTATATTCACCCTCCAAAAGAGCATCAGAGCTGCAGTCTGAGCTGGTAACACAGCAGTTCTTGGCATTGGTCATGAGGTCAGTACAGGGTCACCACTGACCATCCTCTTTCCCAGCTCACACAGTCTAACTGCAGAGCTCATCTCTGAGCCACAACCAGTAATCCTCCCCCCCTTCCATCCAGTCTCTCAAGCTAAGCACCCAGCAGATCTGCCAGCAGGGCACGGGCAGGCAACAGCACCGGGTCTCTTCTTCTGCAGGGCAGGCAACAGCACCGGGTCTCTTCTTCTGCAGTGCACGTACACCTAAGCACTGGAGCTACGAAGCTTAGCTGGAGATGTGGTCATACCCTACCCAGGCTGTGTTAAATTCTACAGCTATGCCTCGCAGTATGCCCCTTGGATGATAAACTCGTTTTGTACTTCACCAATAACCATCTCCACCAACAGACAAAACCCAGAAAAGCACCATCATTGACAGAATCAATGTGAAGCACATGAAATAAGCGTTGGCAGCATTTGTCTCCTTTGATTCGCTTTCTGTACTTCCGCACAACCCTTTAATTTAGAGCATTTTTAAAGCAGCCATGTGTACTCCACTGTGACCCCAAATGCAATTCAGACACGTAAAGATTTTTATTCAGTCACTTGTACTGAAAACAAACAAATAAAACCACCAAAACGAAAATCAACAGAACGAAAACCAACAAACGAACAGAGAAGTCTCCAGCTGTTGCCCTCTCGGCGCCCAAGCAGAGTCGGGGGAGGTATGAACTGCTGCCACAGATGTGTTTAATCTCCAGGTTTCCATGCTGCCACACCCTCCGAGGCGCCCAGACGAGGGCCGGGGATGGGAGCACGCAGCCTGATGAAGCCTTTGTGGAACCCGCCAAAGCTCGGGTCACGATAACCGATAGCGCGGGGCGCTGCTGCCGGGAGGAACGGGGTCGGTCCCCCCGGTGGCGCCTCTATCCCCCCCAGATAGCTCCTCCACTCCCCCGGCCGGGCGCGGGGAGCAGCCCGGCACCCCGGCAGTGGTCTGTGACACCGGGAGCCCGAGCGCCTAACACCGGCTTCAGAGGGTGTGTTTCCAGAGTTACCCCATCCAGCCTGCCGGAGCGGGGTGAGTCCGCAAGCTCCGGAGGTGCCGCTCACCGGCGTTCAGGGAGACTCCGCCGCCCCCTCCGGAGTCGAGCCAGCGGCCTCGCCCGCTCCTGCTCCAGCGCCATGGCCCGGGGCGAGCAGCCCCTGGAGCCGAGCGGAGCTCACCGGCAGCTCTGCGGGCCCCGACGGCGGGAGCAGCGAGGGGGGCGCGGGCGGGATGCTGCGCTGCCCGCGGCTGCCTTGGGGAATACGCGCCGAACTCTCACCCGGTGCAGGCGCTCACCGCCTGCAGCCGCAGGAAACCCGAACCCCGCCGCTCGGCTGTTTCCCTCGCCGACGCCCCAAGCGGGGTTGGCGGCCCCCACCGTCCTCCCGCCACGCCGGACACGCGAAGTTCACTCCGCTCCCTGGCTCAGCTCCCGGCGGGCGCAGGTGGGCGGCGGGGAGGGCGCGGCGGGAGGCGCTGCCGCAGCCCCGCCCGGAGCGGCCCCGCTCCCGCCGGTCCGGCACCGCGACGGGAAAGGGAGCGAAGGGACGG